GGAGGGAGAGGAGCGGGAGTCTCCAGCCAGCAGCAGCGTGTTAGTGAAAGACCATCGCCCGCCGCCGCCGCCGCCGCTGCCGCCGGCCTGGGGCTCAGCGACCCGAAAGGTGTGGTTGAGCACCAGCAGCCCCTCGGTGGCGGGCGGCGCCCCGCCGCCCGCGCCGTGCGCCACGGGCGGGAGCTTCAAGAAGGCGCCCTCCTCGGCGCCGGCGGCGAGGGCCGGCCCGGCGCGGTGGACGAATGCGGCCGCCTGCGGCGTGTCGATCCGACAGTCCTGTTCGAGGGCGTTTGATGGGGTTTGGGGGGGAGTTTTCGGGGAGTTCAATGGTGTCGTGGGGTTGTGTGCGACCGGTGAAAAGCATACCAAGAAAAATCAATGCAGCAAGGGCGCTGAAGGGGGCGCTCGGCTTTGACCAGGGCCAGGGCCTTGTTTGGGGCCCCTGCACTTGGCGCAGCGCCACCAGACCGCCTCTTTTCGTCACACTGAAACACAAAACCGCGCCGCGGCCCGGCGGTGCCCCGCTGGCCGCGCCGCTCCGCGTCCGCCGCTGCATTGATTTGGGGACCGCACCTCAAACGACACCTCGCCGCCGTTCGTCGGGTTGACACCACTGACCAAGCCGCCGCCGGCGGCGGCGGGGGAAGCCACTGGCACGCCTGAGTCGCGTATCACCAAATTTCCACTGAATGCGAGCCGCCCCGCCACAGTGATGGCCGATGGGGGCAGGCCGGAAACATCTAGGACGGACGGGTGTAAAGTATCTGGGCTGCATCCGCGGATCTCGACCTGGAGGCGCATTCGGAAGCGTGTGCGTGTGTGGGCGCATGTGTGTACGTGTATGTGCGCGTGCTTGTGTGCGTGCTTGCGTGCAGTTTTGTGTGCGTGCGCCAGAGCTGGGACTCAAAGGGCTGGCGGCCACGAGCCCCGGGGCCCGCCGCCACGCCACCGCGGCCGCAACCGTGAGCAATTATTGCGCCTCGCACGACCCCCCGGCAGCGGGTGGCTCAGGAACCTCCACACAATCCGTCTGCCCCGCCTTGCCGCAGATCACGCCCGCAACGCCAGCGGATGCCGTTGAGCACAAGCACCCGCGCACGCCATCTCACCCACCTGCCGGGTGATGCTCAAGCCGGCCCCCGTGCGCCACGCCGGGCCGTCCAGCGCAATCGGCCCCCCAAGCAGCGCGATGCGCGACACAGAGGGGTCCTGCAGCAGCCGCTGCAGCTCGTCCCCGCTGCGGCACGCCACGCCGCCGCCGCTCGCTCCGCCGCCGCCGCCAGTTTCAGCTGCAGCGGCGGCGTCCGCTCCACCTGGGCCTGCCGCCTTCAGACGCCGCCCCCGCAGCCGCCGCTCGCGCGCGGGGGCGTCGTGTGCGCCATGCATGCGCAGGCCTGCGTCGGCGCTACCGCGCGCGCCCGCGGGCCGGGCTGCCTGCTTCAGCGACCAATGAGGAATCAGCACAGCCGCGCCTCGCCGCACAAGAGGCTGAATCTGGGGCCGCGCGGCGGCCGGGTAACCCAGGAGGGACAGCGTCGTGTTGACCCGGCTGTTTGACCGGACGATGACGTCACGCAGCGTCACCGCCCCGAAGCTGCGCACGTCAAACAGCCCCAGCAGCAGCGTGCCCCCCTCCGGCCGCTCGCCGTAAGATGCCGTCGGCGTGGCAGGAGCGCCGGCGCCGCGCGGCGCGGGGCCGGAGAGCGCGAGGGCGCCGCCGGCGGCGACGGCGGCAAGGTCGGCTGAGCGGCCTCCGACCAGGTCGAGTATCCCTCCGCCGCCGCGCGCCGCGGGCCTGTTTGGCTCAGGTGAGCAGGCGGAGATCTCCACCGGCCTCGATATGACGATGCGGGGTCGGAGACCAAAGTCGACCGGGTCCAATGTGAGGCGCCGCGCGGCGATGAGCACGCGCGACACCGAGGCGTCGCGCAGCGCGGCCGCGAGCGAGCGCGAGTCGGAGGCGAGCGCCGTGCCGGGCGCGGGGCCCTGTGGGGCGGGCGCGATGATTGCGGGGGTGGAAGCTGTGTGTGTGTGTGTGTGTGTGTGTGTGTGTGTGTGTGCGTGTGTGTGTGTGTGGGGGGGGGGACAAAAGGGCGCGTTGCTGTGTGCGGCTGCGCTCATGCATACTTCGTGGGGTTGGGGCATGACGCGCGCGGGCCGCGAAGGCGGGGCGGGGCGGG